TATCAGCAATTGTTACTTTTGTATGGCGCCTCTAATTGGGAAAGGTGTGTCAAAAAAGAAAAAGTGGACTGCATTATCCAAACATTCCATCAGCTATACACCCAGTAACCCAATGGAGAAGGGCTGCCGGTTCCTGATGCACCAGAATCATTCTCACTTGAGTCAGACAAGGATGAGGTTGAAACTTCTGGTCCTGAACCATCAAGGTCAAATGATCCAGATTTTCTCCCATCCTCTTCCTCTGAACCACACCTCATAACACAAGCTGAACTGAAAGACCTTGTCAGGGATTTGAAACTACCCAAGAGTAAGGCAGTACTGTTGGGCTCCAGACTGCAGCAGTCGAATCTCCTGGCAGGTGATGTTAGGGTTTTTATGTTCCGTGACCATCAAAAGGATCATCTTCCATTCTTCATGGAAGGTGATCTTGTAGCCTGAAACAACATCAATGGTGTAATGGCAGCCCTCAACATAGTTCATTATCCAGATGAGTGGAGACTTCATTGATTCACTGAAGATGGGTCTTAAAGCTGTTTTGCTGCATAATGGCAATGTTTTGCCATAAATTACAGTTGGTCATGCAGTCCATATGAAGGATACCTATGACAACATGAAACAAACTATGACCAACATCAGTGGCAGCTTTGTGGCGATTTGAAGGTTGCTCTCTTGCTTGGTCTGCAGACTGGATACACAAAATACTGCTGTTTTCTCTGCGAATGGGATAGTCGCGCGAGAGATTCCCACTACATCAAGATAGATTGACATTCATTGGATCCTGGGAGGAAAAGTGTTGAGCATCCACCACTGAATCACCCTTGAATGATGAAGAACTTTGTCAAAGCAATGGAGAAAACACAAGCAGCTGTCAAGTACCTCCGTGGAAAATTTCCAAGGTTAAGTGACGCTTATATAAAGGTAGGTGTCTATGTTGGTCCTCAGATTAGTAAACTTCTTAGAGGTGATGCATTTGACAGTGCACTGCGTGGCAAGGAAAAGGACATGGAACGCCTTCCAGTTAGTGGCAACAAATTTTCTCGGAAACAACAAGGCAGACAACTACAGGGAGTTGGTGGGACACCTCAAGGCATACAAAAGCCTTGGTTGCAACATGTCACTAAAGATACATTTTTTGCACTCTCATAGATTTTTTTCCCACGGAAATGCGGAGCATTGAACGATGAGCATGGCGAGCGATTTCACCGGGACATTGCAAAAATGGAGAAACGCTATCAGGGCAAATGGAGCCCATCAATGCTTGCAGACTTATTGCTGGGCAGTGGCAAGAGATGCTCCATGTAATGAATACAAGAGACAAGTCAAGAAGCGCCGAGTGGACACTGAATATGGACTAAACTATGTACTTATATATACGTAATTATTTTTTTTCCTTTTGTTTCATCATACATTTTATTTCTAATCTTTTTGCTGATTTTTTTAAGTGTTACATGAACAGAACAGGGGTGACATGTTATCATGTAAAGCAACCATAAACACATGAAAAGACCTAGGTTTACAATTTGAGGAAAACTCTATCTACACTACATAGACGTAAATTGTAAAAACTTTAAACAGTAGCCAATCGGTTGTTTTAATTGCCATATTTAAATTCAGCACATCAAAATCCATAATAAACAGCACATGTAATCTCTGAAGCAGATGACGTCTAAAAAATTGCAGGCCTGTGTTATTCACAATGTGGTTAATTAAACTGGTTCTGTGAGCCTTTGGCATTAACAGGCAATACAAATTATCCTAATGGTGTCTCCCATTGTTGCTTAGGTCTTAAAATTAGTATCTGGCAAAAACACGAGAATTCGAGCGGCAAGGGCAGTTTGCTGTGGTCCGTGCAACACTGCCCCACTCATCTGCCGATTTGACCCTAATGGGATGCAGCATCAGGTTCACATTAAATTGCAGATGCTCTCCTCTCATTGAATCTTTTGTGGCTCCCCGTACGATGCAATGGGCTTTTATCGACTTTGCAGGAGCATACGCCTCGTATGAAAATAAAATAAATAGAGAATGTTTTTTTGGCTTTTGATTAAATACCTTAAAGGAAGTTGAAGCCTAAAAAAAACGAAAGAGGTGTTATTTCACAACGTAGCTTCAAACTTTTGTTGGACAGCACTGGGGAATACGGATGAGTTATGTTTCTTGACAGGGTTAAGAGGAGCACTCAGTTTGCTCTCAAAGAGTTTTACCTGCTCTCCCGTGAGGGGTATGTAGAATTGGATCTGGGTTGCGGGGGCGGTGGCTTAAGTTGTGATAAATAAACAAAATTAAATATAACCCAATCAAAATTGAGGCTTCCCCAAAATCTTCAGCTTTGGTGCCTGGCTACAAGAGGGGGCCCCCCAATATATCCTCATGCCCATTACACGTCTCAATAAGAATGATGAAGGAAAATATTGAACAGAGACTACATGTCAAGGGAACGTTTCCTGGTATAATTGCAGGCCACAAAGGAGAACCACTTGCCCTTGCGATATCGAGGCGGTCATGGTGGTCTAGGGTGCCACGGTGGCGAGATGTTAACTACCTCGCCTGGTATACAGGAGGTCGTGGGTTCGATCCCGATCCTGACACCTGCTGTATATTTGGAGTTTGCATGTTTTCCCCGTAGTGTGGATTTTTCTCCAGGTCCTCCGCGTTTTTCTCTCCACATTTAGAAATTTGCATTGAGATTATTTAGATTATTTTGATGCTACGAATGTCCACATGGTAAGCCACTTTATGGAGCTATCATTTGTGGCCAGGTCTCTTTTGAGAAACGTGCGTTTAGAGTATTTAGCTGCTATGCATTTCCACATGATAAACCACTTGCTTATGAAAAAGAGCTATATAGCTCAGTGGGTCTTCCCTGGTAAATAATAAAATATTTTAATAGTTAAACATTTTTTTCATAGTTTGGTTTCTATTGAGCCACTCAACCTCATCCGTTGTAAACAAAGATATGCCATTTTTTGTTAATATCACTACAAGGGCTAGAATAATTAACTGACACATTTATTTATATTGATTCTTAAAGTTCTTAATGCATTCAGAAAAATTGCAAATGTAAAAATAGCTTTTATTGTGTCATTAAACATAATCCCTGCAGCCGTTAGAGACACTAACCTTTCGTTGAAATGGTTCTTCAATCGAATCATGACCCTGAAATTGCGAAGTCATCGAATAGTCATGGGGAGAGTGAATTGTTTCACGCACTTGTGTATATTTATGTTGTCGTTTCAGTTACACAGCAGGCTGATAATTTTAAATTCTAAGTAATCTGAGAACAAAAGCTTCTTATATCCACACACTCTTACGACTCACCGCGTTATTGCGGATAGGAGGACTTGTGTCGGACATCGATGTTCGGTTGGTTTCGATAAAATACACTGAGGAAGTGTACCAAGGTGATTGTGACATTTAAATTTTTAGCCACTCGCGAACATCTGCTGTATATAAATTTAGAATTGATTTCCAGTTTATTATAAAGGTATTTTCTTAAAAATACTGAAATTCTCTCAATCATCAATTGGTTCCATAAAAAAATGTTGAGTTTGGTGTGTTCATTGTAAGTAAAATGTTTATTATATACATTTGACTTTTATTTACAACATAAATATTCACAAGTGCGCACATTTGACTTTTATTTGAAGGATTAGAGATAATAACCAACAACATGGTTTTCCGAAATATATATTTTCACGATACACTTCATTTTTGATGACATTACAATTGTCACAATTTATGTATTTTACATTATTCTGTAGTGGAATGGATAAGGTGGAGCACCTCTATTGAAAAATAAGAATAGTTTTTGCCCTTTATGGCAGTAAAACAGGAGGTGTTACGATGTTGAAACATCAAATAGAAACGTTTGCAAGAAATCAAATCTGCACTCACCACACACAGTACTTGTGGTGAACATGCAAACAAACATGCTCTGTTAATATATGGCATTGTCTCTAAATTTGAAGCTTTCGTGACTGCAGGGATTCATGCTCTTTGTTTTTTTTCGGTAAAGCCACGTAGATAAAACAAAATCAAAATAAAAGAAAACAACTAAATCAAATCACGACAACATAACAAAAGACGGATTAACTTGGCCTCGTCGTCGTTCCCTGCTTAGCTCCTCCCCCCACCTTAACCTGTATATAAGCTCGAGGGTCTCAGAGCTCACCACTTGATGCAGCTCCCTTGCTGTGACTGTTCCACCTGAAGACGGAAGCTTGTGTTGTCTCCGAAACGTCGTGATTTATTTGGTTGTTTTATTTTGATTTTGTTTTATCTACGTGACTTTACCGAAAAAAACAAAGAGTTTATATGGCATTGTCTTTGAAACTGATTGGCCTACACCAGAGACGGGCTTCGTTATGGCCTAGTCTCACCATTGTCAGACCAGAGAACAACGCCAAAAGGCGAACAGTACAAAGACAATGCCACACGTATCAGAGCACGGCTATATCATGGGATACCTTATGATGGTGATTTGTTTTTTTTTCTCTGGGATTCCCGCCGTCACGCTTATGCGCAATCATAATTTTATCTCTAACAATTTCATCTTAATTTTTTTGTCGGTCCATATATATTGACACTTCCCATGTCTGCAACTTACTGATCAGAAGTTGATACATTGCAGGAGATGCACTGCGTATGATATGAGCTTATTACATGGACTAATTTCTTTAGAACATTTTTTTTGTATTTAGTTTGTCCTTCCCCCCCTCCCTCACCTCCGATTATCACGGTTGGCTACGCACGTTGCAAATTAAGTTCTACATACATACACTTTTAGAAATGTTGTTCTATTCGCTTTGAATGCTTCAGTTCTATCAATACCTAGCATTGCGACTGCAACGTAAATTCAGCTTGACATAGCCGCGACAATCTGCTCCGCGGTGTGTGGAACTGTGGGGCGAGTGTCGGGCTTTGTTGCTGCCTTTTTACGAGCGTGTGCGTGTGTCTGTGTTTCTGCCCTTTCCCCGTCCGCTTCTGACCCAATCCCACAGAATCAAGTTCCCGACAAGGCCCGGCGCATCCTGGAGCGGCTCGTTAACCAATTCACCAATTCTGGTCGATACTGGAAGACCTACATAGAGGCAGAGGTTACTATCTTTTTACATTTTTTTTTATTTTTAATTTCTTTACCAGTGTTATCACTTGAGGATAACGTTATAAATGGACAATGCATATAACATCACTTTTAACAAAAAAACGCCATATACTTAAATTATTATTTGTACATTGTCTGGCTCTGTAATTATGCGTTCACGGACGCTTTATTTGCATCTTGCTGCCTTGCTGTTGCAACACGCAGTGTTGTCGCGAAAATGACAATTTAGTCAAGTTTTTGTTTGTTTACACATCGCAGAATTAAAAAAAAACTGACAAAGTTATTTTACGTTTGTCGAATGCAAGTTGCCGACACTGGCAATGTTTTTTTTTACATGGCAATTTTAACCAATTTTCCCTCCCCTATTGTAAACGCAGGTATTATAAAAAAAAACCCAGTCACCCACAGCCACGTTAAGCCGTGGGCCGTACGACCGTGCCGTTTGGCTACGTACTTTCATATTCACTCTTGTGAGTATCTTCAACATATTCCCTTTCAGCGTTTTCTTGCACTGCGGTGGGGACGGCCACGCTGCGTTTCTGTTGTTGCCGCTGAGTCTGCAAGAAAACCTGGTCTGCCGTGCCAAAAAATAGGAATCCTCACGTTTTTAAATCATAGCTTATGGTTAGCGTGAAAAACGGTGAAATTATATCAAATTGTGTGAATATGATTCAAGTCGACCGAACAAAATATACCCTTGAAAATAAACTGTAATGTTTACCAAATAAGAGAAAATATGGTATGTTGTCGGTGATTGGGTTTAGCGATATATATTATTATTTTTAAACAATCGTACGTGGTGGGTATTGAAAATACTTTTTTTAATATATCAAGCAATCATATTGCAAAGAAATGTTTGTTGCATGTTGGAGTTGCAACAACATTAAAATGTGTATATTAACGTCTGGCTGTGTGGCCCTGACTTTTATTCACTTGTGGTTGTCTGAATTTCCTGACTCCTGTGTCAATTTATTTTTGGGCTAAAGTGTCCTTTTATTTATAATATATTTCAGTAGTACATCTTATCCCACACAAGTGTTTCCTTGTCCTCAATACCCAGAGCGAGCTTTCGCTTCGTGTGTTATTTAAAGTGCAACTTTTATCTAATCTCTTAAACCATTTACGTTTGCTTCTAAAATATGTGCGTGCGTGTTGTTTAGTTGACAATGTCTAAAATAACTTTTTTAAGTGATGACTGTTTTGGAAAAATCTTTGCTGTGAGTCACGTGATTGCGTTAAGACATGTTTTAGTTAATGCATTCGGTTTGCTCAGGTCAGTGATGCATATGACAGGGTGGCTGCTGTTGCTGCTGCCCGATAGCCGTCGTGAATTGAGGGTTATTTGTAGATCATGTTATTAAGTATATTTGTATACCATGTTATGTAGAATTAGTATAATTTAAACTCTTGTCTCGTGTATGTGTGAACACGTTTGTGTTTTGCAATATTTTGCAGATACAATATTACGTGCGCCTATTGGTGTGTGTGTGTGTGTTTGGGCTTTTGTATGCGTGTGCATGCAATCATGAGTGAAGAGCAGTATAAGAATGGGCATACACAATTGAATGAATATAATTAGTGTGCATATGTGTATGCATGATTGATGTTGTCTGCAAATATATGCACTTGGGTATGGCAATGGATGCATGTATGAATAAGTTTGCGTTTGAAAATACACTGGTGTATGTGCGGTGCGCATAGTATGTGGAATAATGTATGAGCGTGTGTCATGGGTCACAATCTTAATTTAAATTGCATCCAAACACAGCAACGTATCAACACGCTTCACAGAAAAGTTTAAGAGTTTAGTGAGTGAGTTTGGATGAATGAAAAATACATAAAAACAGCAATGAACATGAATAAAAATGTGCGTGTGCATGCGCTAGTGTGGGTTTGTGTCGTGGCAAACGAAGTGGCATGATCATGTACGAATCGTTGCGTGTGCTTGTGAAACTGCACTTGAATGTACTTGGCTTGCGTGCATGCTGTTAAATGCACTTGCGTGTGGCAGTATGACTGGGGTATGTTGTAGAGTGTAATTGTGTGCGCATATTCATGCGCTCACAGCCAACACCGGTGACGATTAACTGAACTGGTCTTGGGCCTCCACTAGGTCGACTCAGCCTCAAATTAGTACCTGGTACGGTGTATAAATATCACCACTGGGGAGACAAAGGCGACTGGGCGTGGTGCTGACTACCCACCTCCTCGTGTACCGTACCAGCCTTCATTGGTGCTTGCTAACAAGCAGTTAACACCGCGCCATGGTGGCGAGATATTGCCTCGCCTGGTATGCAGGAGTATGTTTGTTCGATCCTGACCCTGACGCCTTTATATTTGGAGTTTGCATGTTGTCCCCATGGTCATGTGGTTTTTTCCGGGTCTTCTGGTTTTTCCCTCCGCATTTAGAAACATGCGTTTAGGGTATGTGGCTGCTGTACATGTCCACATGATAAGCCGCTTTGTTGAGCTATCATGTGGCCAGGTCGCTTCTGAAAAAGTTAGTTTAGTTTACTTGCCCCAACAGTCTGTAAAGGCTATACGGGGATCTTTGGGTGTGTGTGTGTGTGTGCATGCATTTGTGTGTGTGGAAGTGTGGATGTATGCACTCATGTATGTATGGATACAGACACTTTGTGGTTGTGTGTTCATGCACCTGCACAGGAATGGCTGTGACTACGATTGGGAACTTTCAGTGATACTGTTTGTGTGCGCCCATTTGTAATGTGATGGTGAGGTAATGCCGAAAAATAACACCATGGAAATTACTACCCATTGGCGGATAAGTAAACTCAAAGCTCGATATTTTTTTTATATTTAGCCTACCTATCTGAGATATAAACAGGTTCTCTGAAACTTTGCAAGTCTGCTGGTGGAACGTGCAGGCACGGCCTTGCCATTCAAAGCTCTTGAGGGTTCATTTGGTGTGCTAATATGAAGCTAACCCCCCCCCCCCTCGTTTGTCTCTGCCTCTAAAACAAAGAGTTCTGAAGCTTTATCAGCTATTTCTCTTTGTAGGCTGTTGCACAAAGGCCCCGTGATGACACTTTTCTGTCTGCTCGCGTATTATTGACATGTGGTTGTTAGGGTCTAAAGTGCAGTCTGGGATGGTGGGTGGTGCACCTCCCGGGTACATTTGAGTGTGTAATGAGGAAACGGTGACATTTCAATGCAAAGTAAAATGCAAAATTCAACTCGGAGTGACAAATCCGCCTTAGAGAATGTGTACAAGGGAACATCGAGAAAATGCGTGGATCTAGATCGTACGCAACTAATTCATAATAAAAGCCTGTCTTCGCCAGGCAAAATTTTCAATATGTAATTTTTCTCAATATTATTTCTTACCATTTTTATCTATGATCAGATACTCCACATTTTTTTTATTTTTTTGCAAAAAAAATCCATTGTTGACTTTATTCAACTTATATTTAATGATGTACCCATCAGAAACCAATAAATTTAAAGATTCCATTTTTGTATTAGAACAAAAATTAATGTAGTTAATACTCTATGATGGGGAGCTCTTTAACCGTATTGGAATTATTCCAATATGAACATAAAATATGTATTTTTGACTTAAAAACCGCTTGAATCCGAAATATCTCAAAAACAATATCGAACAATGGTTCTCACTTTAATTGTGCTTGCTGTTTAATGCTCCTATCAAACGAAAAAAACGCAATCTTATTTTGAACGGTGTCTGAATGACATGCACAAGCATGTTTATGGGGCACTTAAAAATCGAGATTTAGGGGCCTTAAAATAAAAAATCTCGGATTTTGAGATTCGTCCTGTTTGCGTCTTAAATGCTACACATGTACCAAATTTCAGTTTTGTACCTCGTCCGGAAGTGCCCGAGAGGTTTTTGAGACGTACAGAGGAAGGTCTTTATTTATAGAATAGGCACAGTTTTCACTGTGCCCCGGGTCTACAAAAACTAAAGGGGCCTTCGAAAGAAAATGTGACCATGTCTTTTTTTGGTTGTAGGATAAAAATATGTAACAAGGATATACTCTCTGGTTCTTACGTGACTTTACCTAAAGAACCAAAGAGTATGGATTCCTGCAGTCACGAAAGCTTCAAATTAGCACAGATATCTTGAATAAATATATTTATATAGCAAGGATATGCTTACTGTATATACAGAGACGGTCATGTCAATGTCAGTCGTTTTTTTTTCACAAGGTGTGAGAAATTAACACTGGAGATTAACTTTTCGTGATTTTTTTTAAATTGCGTAATTAGCAAATAACATCGTCAAATTGTGAATTTCGTACAATGTCGTTCTCGATAGAGAGTAGCAGTGCAAGGGAAGACGAGGCGTTTTTGTGCGCGTAACAGCGGCAGTTGTAACATTGGTGGGGGAGGTGGGGCAGCATTACCAACTGTAGAAACGAGTGCCTCGGGCCTACAAGAACCTTAATCCGGCCTGCTTGCATCCTCGTGGGAGGATTATTTATTGCAGCAAAATTACTTCTCACAGGAATGTGATTCTTTGTTTTAAAGTTAATCTTATTTCGGTAAATGTATTAACCTCAACTGACAGGCCTGTTGAGATTGTATAATTGGAGAATAATTTTTGGCAACTGCACCACCATTAAGTTATTCCAGAAGCAGCCAGGTTATGTGGCTGCTTTGTTGATTTAAATTCTATTATCTCACGAACGCAGCCATGGATCTCATGTTCTGACTGGGAAATGTATAGGTACAAGAAGCCGGCGAATCAAGTTACGTGAGAAATTTGAATAATTGGATGCAACTCGGAGCATCCGATGGAAGTATTTTGAGTAAATATTGTGGAGAGAGCTGAAGGGAAGGAAGGCCACGATCGCCGACGTCTTTGAGAGAGGACACGGCACGTGTAGAGAGAGGAGGCTGCTATGTTTTTGTTAGATGGGGGGGGGGCGGTATTAATTTTTAGATTTAAATCGCAGTACGTTATTACGCAAATTATGTACGTTTTGTACCGCTGTCACGACTCTACAGTGTGTC